TTTCTTTTGTCATCTTTGTCTGGCTTTCATATCAGAATAATGTTGACCTCATAGAATGAGTTAGAAAGGATCACCTGATTTTTTTTTTTTTTGAAAAGTTTGAGAGGATAGATATTAACTGCACTGTAAATGTTTATAGGTTTCAGCACTGAAGTCATCTGGTTCTGGACTTTTCTTTTGGGGGAGTTTGTTTACTACTGATGTTATCTTGTTATTTGTTCTGAGTCTATTCAGCTTGTCTGTTTCTTATTGAGTCAATTCACTCATTTTAGATTCAAATATACAAGTAGATTGAAAGTGAAGGATGGAAAAGCTGTTTCATTTAAATAGTAACCAAAAGAGAGCTGGGCAGTATTGTGAAATCAGACAAAATAGACTTTGAGAAAAAATTGTTGTAAGATTCAAATAAAGTCATTAAATATTGATTAAAATGTTCACTATATCTAGAAGATAGGGCAATTATGAATAAACATACATGTAGTAACAGATCCTTAAAATATGCAGAGCAAAAATTTATCTAATTCAAGATAGAACTAGGCAGTTCCATTTCTACAATAACAGTGGAAGGCCACAATAAGAAATTTCCACAATTAAAAAATTAAATAATAGAACAACTAGATCAAAAATCGTTAATGAAATAGAAGACTGAGAACATATATACAAACCTGGTGATGCATCTAAAGCCCTCAGCTAAGCAGTGTCAGAATCTAGGAGCGTTCTCCTGACTGTGCCATACATGAGGCCACAAAATAAATCTGCCCAAATTTAAAAAGATTGAAATCATACAAATTATCTTCTCTAACCATAATGAAAAGAAATCAGAAATCAGTGGCAGAAGGAAAACTGGAAAATTCACAAATATGTGAGAATGTGAGAAAAAAACAATGACTGAAAGAAGAAATCACAAGGAGAGTTAGAAAATATTGGATTATTGTAAAAGTCATGAAGCATTTTTGCTTGAAAAAACATAGGGAAAAAGTGTCATGACTTTTCTGGCAACCCAATACTTTAAGATGAATGAAAATCAAAACACGGCAAACCAATATTTAGGGGACACAGCAAAGGGAGATTTGTGACTTTGAAAAAGAAGATGCATCCAAATCAATAACAATACCACAAGGAACTAGAAAGAGAACAACAGTAACCTGAACCTAGAGCTAGCAGAAGAAAGGACATAAAGATTAGATCACAGATTAATGCAGTAAAGAGTGAAAGATAATAGAGCCATCAATGAAACCAAAAGTTGGTTCTTTGAAAGGAACAATAAAATTAACAAATCCTTATTTAGATTAAGAAAAAGAGAGAAGATTAAAATTACTAAAATCAGAAATAAAAATGGGACACCAGTACTAACCTTATATAAATTATTGTATGAATACTATGGACACTGAAAAATTAGAAAACGGAGATGCAATAAAAAAAATCCTATGGACAGATGAGCTACCTAAGCTGACCCATTGCTGGTGCTTTTTTATCTCTCACGTGTCTTCTCAGCACTCTTTGACTTCAGCCCAAATATCACTCCCCACAGGGTGGGTCTGCTAGTGACAAACTCTTTAACTTGTATTGACCTGAAACTGTCTCAGTGTAGCCATCACTTCTGAAGGACATGTCGTTGGATAAAGACTTCTTGCTTGATGATTTTTTTCAACACTTGAAAAAAATGTCATCCCATTGCCTCTGGCCTTATAGTTTCTGATGAGAAATTATCTGTTAACCTTCTCTCTTGTGGTTTGTCTTTGATAATTTGAATATAAGATGTCTGTGTGGATATCATTGAGCTCATTCTCCTTGTCATTCAGTGAGCTTCTTGGATATGTAGATACATATGTTTCATCAAGCTTAGGCACGTTCTAGCCACTATTTCTTCAAATATTTTTTCTGTTCCTTTCTCTCTCCTCTCTGGGATTTCTCTTAGTGGTATTCTCAATGGCTTCCCACCGGCCTCTGAAGCTCTCTTCATTTATTTTCATTATCTTCCCTCCCCTCCCCCACCCCCACCTTCTGCTTTCAGACTGGAGTATTTTAATTGATCTATCTTCATGTTCACTGATTCTTTCTTCAGCCTGTTCAAGTAAGCTAGTGGGCCCTTTGAGTAAAGTTTTAATTCAGTTACTGTACTTTTAAACTCCAGAATTTCAATTTGGCTCCCCTTTATTTCCTGGCTCTGTATTGATATTCTCTATTTAGTGAGATGTCATTCTTGTGGTTTCTCCTATTTGTTTGTCCATGATTTTCTTGAACTCTTAGAATATATTAAGAGAATTGCCTTAAAGGTTTTTGTACAGTAAGTTCAATTCTTGGGTTTTTTTCTACTAATTACTCTTTTTCCCATGAATGGGCTATGCTTTCTTTTTTGCATGCCTTGTGGTTTTTTTTTTTTTTAGTTAAAAATGAGCACTTTAAATATCATAATGTGATAATTCTGGATACTAAGTTCTCCCTCACAGCAGTTTGCTCTTGCTGATTTTTGTTTGTTTTTCTGTTTGGTGACTCTTCTAAACTATTTTTGTAATGACTGTACTCTTTGTCATGTGTGGTCACTGTTGCATTAGTTTAGTGTCAGATAATGAGTCATTAGAGAGTTCCTTAAACACCTGGAGCCAAAAAAATATTTTCCCCAGTCTTTGTGTTGGGGGCCTGGGCAGCTGGCACCTCTGTCTTCACCTTCATTTCCTGCCTGTGCAGAACATGAAGCTCAGCCAGAGGTGAGCATTTAGGACTATCTCAGGGCCTTTTTGAGTATATGTGATTATGTGTGGACACTTCGAGAACCCCAGGAATCTGTGGAAGCTTTGAAAGTCCTGTTCCTCAAAGCATCTCATTCCCCAGCTTTTCATGTTAGACTTTTAGGGTATCTTCTGCCACAACTGATACCCTTTCTCCAGACATGACAAATAGTTCATTTACAAACACTCTCTATGTAGCTGCTTCTCCACCTTGAGACAGTTCTGAGTTAGGAGAAGTAAAGGTAAGTCCTTTGTGTGAGTCCTTCAAGAAACTACCAGAAAGGTTTTGTGGTACACAGGGCAACAAATGAAGAACATGCAGGAGGAGGGTCTACATCAGGAGAGGACTTTGCAAAGGGAAGCCCTGAGCAGATAGGTGTGCAGCACATGGGCATGCAGCAGGCCTGCTGGCAGGAGGAGCAACTGCAGCAAGAGGCAGGGCTGGACCCACAGCTCACCAAGGTGCAGATTAGGGTCAGGCAGGAGGCAGGCACATAGCAGCTGGGGGAGCAGCAGCATATAGGGGCATAGCAGTGGGGCTCACAGCTGCTCTCTGGACAATCCTCCCCCTGCCTGGAAGAATCAGTGCAGGGGTCACCAGGTTTAACTTCCTGACTTATATATGCTTTGTTTTGGCTTGTGTTATTCTGTTTTAGAACAAACAGTTGCTTCTTTTGCTTATTTTTCTGTGCCCTATCATTTAATCATTCCCAAACTCTGACTAACTTGTCGCTAAGCTCCACTCAAGGGGCACAAACAGATCAGAACATTTATCAACTTCAGGTTTTGGAGAAACATTTCTCCTGAATTCCTCTTTATTGTGGAGCAGCTTCCTGGCTGTTCCCTCATCTGATGGACAAGTGTGATTCAAGGATCCATTTCACCATTTCTTTGGATTTTTCTTTCCTCTCTTATCATGAATCTCTTATTTCCTGAGTGCCACATCTTTTTCTACCTCTTATTTGGAAGGAGTACACTCTGCAAATGGGTGCATGAGAGATAAACTTTTGAGTATAGCATAACTAAAAATGCCTTCACTCTCTCTTTATACTTGATTTATGGTTTAGCTTGGTATAATATTCTGGATTGGAAAAGTATTTCCTTAGAATTTTTTTATCGATGATGTAGAACATTTCCAGAATTCTCAATGTTCCTGTTTACCCACCTCCCTCTAGGAGCAATTATTATTTCACCTTCCCTCCCCATTGATTAGATTTTTGCTCCTTTTGCTCAACAAAGTGTCTGTAATAAGCCCTTGTGTTGCTGCATGTATCCGTAGCTCCTACTTTCCATGTGCGAATACACACTCTGGTATGTTCTTCTGCATCATGTTCCCTTTCACACTGTTTTCTGTGATCCAGTCCAGATTCACTGTGCACACTGTGTTGTGATCTGTCATTGCTGTCCTCTTCAAGTTGGAACTGGCTGCACGGGGGCGCCCGAATTCCAGACTGGCAGAGGAAAGCAGGTGACACAGGCCACGTGGCTTGTGTGTGTATCTCGGGCCAGTGAGGCACGTGTGTCCCAGCGAGGCTGGCAAGGACCCTCCCACATCCATGTTCCAGGTGCCAGCCAAGCCCCAGCTAATTCCTGCCTGCAAAGGGCTCCTGGGGTTCGCCCTCAACACAGGGGGTGGTGTCATTCCAGGGTGGGGGGTCATCCCTGAGGGCGACACAGCCCAGGGTGGCACCTCCACAGGGTGATGTCCTTGGAGCCGGGTCCATCCTCTGGGCACATGTGTGCCCAGACTGGCAGGGGCTGCTGGGACATGGTTCTGGAGCAACCTAGGACACCCACCTGTGGGTAGGACAAGGCAGGGCCTTTGTTGTAGCCAAGGGATGAATTCCAGGTAAATTGGCCAGGAAGAGCGTTTATTAGAAAGGATGACAGTGAGTGGCCTGGGGCGGGGGTGCGGGGGAGACATGAGCAGCATCAGGCCCGAGGGCCGGCCACACCTGCATCCAGGGCTGGGATGAGAAACCAGATGTTTCTCTTGTCCTCACCAGGCCCGAGGTCCTGGGGGAGACCAGCTAGCCTCATTGGGTCACTGCCAGTCCAGGTGGTGGAAGGCAGGGCGCATTGATTGGGGGAGTCAGTGCTGGAGGAGAAGGGGCTGTTCCCAAGAGCAGGAGTGTGGGGTGACCGGAGCCGCAGGTGGTGCTGCATGGGCCCTGTGGGGGCCTCGATAGCTGTCTTGGCTCTTGGTAGAGAATCCATGGGGTGCAGGTGGCAGTGAGCGCTTGTGCTTTGGGATGCCCTTAGGAAGCTAACTCAGCAGCAGGCAGGGCGGGGGCACGCGGGCCGGCAGAGCAGGGACACGGAGGAGGCCCCGCGGCAGCAGCCGGGCTGGCAGGAGGGGGCGGGGGCGCAGCAGGCGGGTTTGCACACGGGGCGGCAGATGAGGGACACGCAGGAGGAGGGTTTACAGCAGGGCGGGGGGCAGGGGCTGGGCTGGCAGCAGGAGGAGGGCGAGCAGGGGGAGGACCCCGAGCAGTCGGGCACACAGCAGGCGGGCGTGCAGCAGACGGGTGTGCAACACATGGGCGTGCAGCAGACAGGCGTGCAGCACATGGGCTTGCAGCAGACAGGCGTGCAACACACGGGCTTGCAGCAGACAGGCGTGCAACACACAGGCTTGCAGCAGACAGGTGTGCAGCAGGCAGGTGTGCATGAGACAGGTGTGCAGCACACGGGCTTGCAGCACACGGGCATGCAGCAGGCCTGCTGGCAGGGGGAGCAGCTGCAGCATGAGGGCTCACAGGGGCTGCCGCAGGCCGACTGGCAGGGGCTGGACCCGCAGCTCACTGGGGTGCACACCAGGGTCAGGCAGGAGGCGGGGGCGCAGCAACAGCTGGGAGCACAGCAACAGCTGGGGGTGCAGCAGCTGGGGGCGCAGCAGCAGGGGGCACAGCAGCTGGGGGCGCAGCAGCAGGGGGCACAGCAGCTGGGGGCGCAGCAGGGGGGCTCACAGCAGCTCTCAGGACAGTCGTCTCCCTGCCAGGACAAGTCGGTGCAGGAGTCACAAGAACCAGGCAGGCAGACCCGGCTGTCATAGCTCAGGTCGCTGGAGCAGACGGACAGGGTGGAGGCGGCCATGGCGTGCGGCTGGAGGAGGGAGGGTGGGAGAGGGTGTGTGCGTGTATGTGAGTGTGTGTGAGTGAGTGTGGGTGAGTGTGGGTGAGTGTGGGTATGGAGGTGCTGGGCCTCTGGCCTTTTATACCCCTCCCAGCCGTGTCCCCACTGAGTAGCTCACATGCCTCCTTCCTTGTTGTTGTTTGGCCCCGGAAGTCTCAGCAGGCAGGTGTGTGTTTGGTTCCACCAGATGTTGCTCAGCTTGTTAAATGCGTGAGTTATTTCAGGGTTGTTCATACATCTGCACCTCCGTGTCCCAGAGCATATGGTCGGGTGGGAAGGGAACCTCCCTGCCTGCCTGCCCCCAGGGCTGCCCCGTGTGGCCTGGGCCTGCGTGCGTCCCAGGGAGCCTGGTCGAAGCAGGCAGGAGGCTGAGAGTCTCCCCAGCACTTCCCCCAGTGCCAGCAGTTCTGTGGGGCACCAGTGCAGGCGGCACTGGGCCCAAGGCCCGACGGGAGGCACCCCCAAGTCCCTGGGGTGGGCATGCTGTTCTTCTGCCCGACCTGGCATGAGGTCCGGACCCCACCCACACCTTCCACCCCATTCGCTTGTTCCCTCTGCAGAAGGCACAGCCCCCCACAGCCCACTAGCCTCGTGCGGGGTTCTGACCCTTGGCCAAGGCTGTCAGCACATCCATCCCTTCCCTCTGCAACCGGCTTCTCTCTGCAGCAAGGTCCCGCGCGCTGGGCCTGGGACACAGGGACCACCTGGTGCCGCCAGTGGCCGCTCCCCAGAACCTCATGCGGACTCGGGGGACCGTGGGGCGGCGGGGAGGGCCTGGCGGGGAGGGTTCGGGGCTTTCCGTGACTGCGACTCACACCGACTCACACTCACACACCGCCTCCCCCGCCCCCCCACCGCCCCGCCTCCAGCGCGCCCGGCCCAGGCTGGCGGGTCCCGGGGTCTAGGAATCAGGGCGATGTGTGGGGCCTTTCTTCATGTCCTGAGCTGCAACAACAGATTTCAGCCTGGCTGTCGGAGGGAGGAGGGAGAGGGGGAGAGGGGAAAACGAGGAGAGAGAGGGGCAGGAGAACAGCAGGGGGACAGGACCCCCCCTGCCCACCCCTGACAAGGCAGCTGTGCCAGACTCGCGCTTCTGCCGAGAATAACTTGAAAAACGGGTGCAGACGCCGCGGCACAGCTTCCGAAGGCTCTGCTGAAGCCGGGACTGCGAGGCAGGCCTGGGGCGAGGGGCAGAGGCGGCAGCTCCTTCCCACGCTTGAGGGAGGGGACCGGGTGGGCCCTGGGGCGGGGAGAAGCCTCCAGGCGCCTGGGGATCACACGGGCTCTCGGAACGCGCAGGGAGGCCTGCGCTGCGGGCAGCAGGCGTCTCTTCACGCCACCAGGGAGGACGCTGCGAAGGCAACGAAAATCTGCGGAAAAGCTCGGCGAGTTTTGCAGCCTCAGGACCGAGGACGGCGCCACGAAGGCAGAGCGGCTCCCAGCGGCGGCCTGGACGGCTGACCCGGGCTGTGGCTCGACCTGCCTCGTGTCAACAGAAGTCCCGGGGCCCCTCAGAGGGCCAGGCCCGGTCGGGGAGAAGCCCCCCAGGCGGCCGCAGCTCCCACGCGCCCGTCACCGCCCGAGCGGGAAGGCGGCCCCGAGCCGCCCGGGCAGCTGAGGTCAGGGAGGGTGTCCCGGGCAGCCGGGCCCTGCGCGCAGGAAGCGGGCGGGAATTCTGGCGGCGAGGAAACGGGACAAGGCGTGAGAGCCAGCCGGCCGCGGCAGAGAGGGTCAGAGAGGGCCCGGGCGCTGGAGCCCGACGTGCGGGGGAAGCCGGAGAGTGAGCAGGGAAGATGCGCAAAGGCGGGCGATCCGCGGCCCCTCACGGGGTCCTGCCCGGAGGGAGGAGCGAATGGGAGGATGTTTTTAAGAGATAATGACAAGAGTTCTCCAAAATCCGTGCTGTGAACTCAGGGCGACGCATTCGAGACACACCGCGACGTCGGGAGGACACGCGGCGGGAGCCAGGCCGGCCGCCACGAAGCGCGTGAAAGCCCGAGACAAAGCCCGGGGTGGACAACGGTGGAAACGTTAGCGCCCAAGCTGCAGCCCGCGCGTGCGGCAGGCGCCCCGGGACGAGGGCGCAGCGGGGAAGTGGCGCCTCTCCGGGGCTGGGTTCTCACAGTGGGAGGACCCCTGGGGAGGAGCTGGGGGAGCGCGGCCAGGCGGGAGCGGCAAGCGGGACGCCCGGGACCCCTCAAGCGAGCGTGAGGGCAGGCTGGCCGGCAGGAGTCTGAGAGGAGGTGTGAGCGGCCGCAGGAGCACGGTGGGCGAAGAGCCACTCCGGTCACATCCTGACGTGGTCGCGTTCACGTCCCCGTGACAGGCCCTGAGGCGTCTAAGCGACAGCAGGACCAAAACGCGGGTCGACACCGGCCACGCCAGAGAGGGGAGAGTGGCACGAGGCGGGGCCTGGGCTCCGGGGCGGGACCGGCAAGAGCGCTCACACCCGCCGGCCCTGGAGGCCAAGCCCGTCCCAAGGGGAGCCGCTGGGAGTGCGCGAAGCCACAGGTGCCTGAGAATGAACAGAAGGAAGAAGATGAATAATAAAAATGCTCAATTCATCCAGAGTAGGCAGGACATGGACAGCAGGGACAGAAGAGGACACCTAATGGACAGGAACCGTGGCCAACGAGCCAGTCGAGCATGACATGTTGAAGATGCCAGTCGACGAGGAAGGTTGTGAGTCCGGGGGGAGCACAGAAAGCCTGCGGCCCCCAGACCGGGTCCGGAGCTCGGGCGGGGGGCGGGGGCAGCCAAGCAGACAGCGGGACAGCACTTGAAATTCACAACGTCCAGCGTGGCAGCGCGCAGCCGGGTCTTTCCTGCGCACGAGCGACTAGGGGGAAGCGAGAGCAGCTAAGACAGCAGCCCTGCTGTGACCAGCGCGGAGACGCCGCCGCCTGCAAGCGACCTGCCCAGGAGCGGGGCTGCAGAGACCAGGCGCTGCCCAAGGTCTTGGTGACCAAGGGGCAGGGGGCTGTGCGCGGGCAGGGAGTCAGCGTGGCCCAAGTCACCATCTTAGCTGCAATGATGCCCAAAGCTCACACGAGCCTCATCAAAGTCCCAGCAGTATTTCCCTCCAAAAAATTAACAAAAATCAACATTTATATGGAACCCGGAAGGCCTCGAACTGCAGTGGCATCCTTAAGGAGAAAGGAGAGCGGGGCGACCGCGCAGGCAGGCAGATTAGGGTGCGGGTGTGGGTGCGGGCAGGCAGGTGGAGTCAAAGCTGGGGCGCTGCCGGTGCTGGGGCCCAGGCCTAGGATGTAGGGACGCGGGGAACGCAGGGCACTGGGGAAAGCTGTCCCCCCACAAATTGCGCTGGGGGCCGGAAGCCACGCTGTAAGGGGGGGGGGGCTCAGAGGCGCGATAACTTCACAAACAAAACCAAATTCTAAATGGATAAAGACTTAAGGACTTAGAGTAAAGATTTAGATGGAGGGGGCCTCCCCGGTGGCGCAGGCGGTTGAGCACAGCGCTGTGAAGCTGTCCGCAGCCTCTCCAATGCTGGTTCGATCCCGGCCAGCCAGGGAGAGGCCCAAAGGGCACAGCAGACCTCTCCTGTTTCCCCCCTGCTCCCCTCAGCGGTGTATTTCGTCAGTTTGCTTGTTCTGTTCCCCGCTCTGTCTCTGGTGAATCCTCTCACCCTCCCGCACATCTGGCCTGTGCCCCAGCTCTTGTATAAAAATAAATGAAATCTTTAAAAAAAAAAAAAAGATTTAGATGTAGGGCATCCCCTGGTGGCGCAGGCGGCCAGCCTGGGTCTCGGCCAGGAATGCCTCTTAGGCTGATGGGGCCCAGGCGCAGGGCCACGGCCCTGGACACGGGCTGCACTTAAGCTGCCCACCCAGGCCCGGAGCCCGTTGGGCCACCCTCGCCTTCCCCAGGTCACACGGGTAGGCACCCCGCTGACAGCTCCAACGTTTATGAGCTGGACAACACACAGGCAAACAAACAACCACGATGCCAGCCCGGAGCCAGGGCAGGAAGCACCAGGGGCAATAAAGCCAGGGGGTATAAAAGCCGGCAGCCTCGGGCACCCCACACACACTCACACCCACACCCCCACACACACACCCTCCCTCCTCCAGCTGCACGCCATGGCCGCCTCCACCCTGTCCGTCTGCTCCAGCGACCTGAGCTACAGCAGCCGGGTCTGCCTGCCCGAGTCCTCCTGGCAGGGGGACGACTGCCCTGAGAGCTGCTGCGAGCCCCTCTGTTGCGCCTCCAGCTGCTGCGCCCCCGCCTCCTGCCAGACCCTGATGTGCGCCCCGGTGAGCTGCGGGTCCAGCTCCTGCGAGCCCTCGTGCTGTAGCTGCTCCCCCTGCCAGCAGGCCTGCTGCATGCCTGTGTGCTGCAAGCCCGTGTGCTGCACGCCCATGTGCTGCACGCCTGTCTCGTGCACACCTGCCTGCTGCACACCTGTCTGCTGCAAGCCCATGTGCTGCACGCCCGTCTGCTGCACATCCATGTGTTGCACGCCCATGTGTTGCACGCCCGTCTGCTGCAAGCCCGCCTGCTGTGTGCCCGTCTGCTCGGGGTCCTCCCCCTGCTCGGCCTCCTCCTGCTGCCAGCCCAGCCCCTGCCCCCCGCCCTGCTGCAAACCCTCCTCCTGCGTATCCCTCATCTGCCACCCCGTGTGCAAACCCGCCTGCTGCGCCCCCGCCCCCTCCTGCCAGCCCGGCTGCTGCCGCGGGGCCTCCTCCGTGTCCCTGCTCTGTCGGCCCGCGTGCCCCCGCCCTGCCTGCTGCTGACCGGCCTGTCCCCCGAGGGCTCCCCCCGTGAATGTGAGCTTCCCAGCTGCCCCACAGCCAGGCCTGACCCCGGTCGGGTTCCTGCCCCTCAGGACGGGGTCCCCCACATCTCCGTGGCCCTGACCAGGCCTCCTGGGCCCAGCAGCCTGCCTCGCTGCTCCCCGGCTCCTGCCTCCCAGGAGGCTGCCCACCTGCTCGGGGCCA